ATATATATATATATGTGTGTGTGTGTGTGTGTGTGTAATGAAGGTCTCTAAAGTTGAAAATGGGCCAGCCATCTCTTGTTGCTTCTCTAATTAATGCCCTCCTTGCCTGATGTACAAGCTTTGGAGGACCACCACTGCTTGGCAGGTTTGCTGTGGTGGCATAATCTTTCTGTTTTTAATTGTTGGTTTAAGTGTGCTCTGTAGAATGAGTAAGGTTTGCGATGTTTTTTTATGACCCAACTACTGCTCCACAAATGTATCTCTCACCTTTCTGAGAGTTCTTGTCTTCGTGCTGTCTATGGTTGATGGTAGCCTGCACTATTTACACTACAGTTCACTGCTGGTGTAGACTTTACTTTAATACAAAAACATTGTCCGTGTATAGAAACATACACAATATCTACATTATACTCAATTGTACAAAAGTAGCAACTATTTTTGAATCGTTGTAATTAGACCAATACAATCTCCATGAGGAAATTTGAGTCTGTAAACACTAACTTGACATAGATCTCAGATAAAGACATGCATTGTTTCCAGGATTCATATGTCTGTTTTTTTGTTTTGTTTTTTTTTTTTTTTCCCTGTTTTTTTTTAAAGGTGATACCAACTAAAGACCGGCTGGAGGGTTTGGCTGCTTTCAAGGAAAAGAGGAATCCTCAATACAGGGGAGAATGAGACCAGACCTTTTCCTGTTCGTTTCCAGAAATGATCCGTTTCCACAGCTTTTAACAATGTATGAGTGGATCTATCAACTCCATGATCAATACAGTGTCCCTGAGGATATCAGAGGAAATTATGGCTTTTTGAGTGGTGATTTTACCCATTTTAATCAACTGGCCTGTGTACTGAATTGAATATTGTTTGATTGCAGTTTGATTGTCAAATATTCACTAACAGTAGCTTCAATTAGTAATAATCCAATTTCAAAGTTAACATCAGCATGAATTCTTGCACATGCAGAAAATTAATGCAATAGACAATTTTTAATACAGTAATAATACAAGTTTAAAATTTCAGACTTGTTTTAGCTGTATGTAGGGTAGTTTTTTTTCTTTTTTTCCTCAGTTTTGGCGCCTCTGTGTGATAGTCACACTCAAAGCAAAAGGTTTGAAATGCTACATTGTAGTAACATACCATCTATATATTTTTTATACAAATCACAGCTCATGCTGCCAGATTTTCAGATGTTATGCTGTATAAGTTCAAAAAACTGCTGGTATTTCAAGCTTTAGTCATCCTCACTTGCTTTCTGACTGTACAGATACATCTAACACTTGTTTTTGTAGGCTGGTATCAAGCTTCAAACTGCTTTAAAGGAATAAAAAATCCAATGCTTCACATTTGTACTGTCTTTATTATTTAAAGGAATGCATTGGCCATTTTCAAGGGAGTTTCTGAGGAAAATTTACAAAATAACTTTAGTCTTACCAGTTGTAGACAGTTTGGAGACATTTTATTGTTATTTTTTAATCCAATGTCACCAGATGGGCTCTGTTCATAAGCACTCTTAGTTGAAGACTAGCAGATTTAATCTAATGTAGGTTTGTTTAGGAGCTGTATAATTTGGTTTAAACATTTTGATCTGTTGAAATCTAATAGAATCCTCTCTGAGTCGACTAACAGCTCTCCTGTTGGCTTCATATTTCCCGTCAGCTGCAACAGCTCTACAAACTCCACAGTTCTTCGCATTTACCTGCCCCACCCCCTTTTTTTTTACAGTTTCCCTTTGTGCAATTTTTCACTAATTCAAATGGCATATTTTTACAATGAGCTGATATATCATTTTTTTGTTTGTTTGAGCTTAAAGATTCATCAATTTCACTTTTTAGAACATTTTAAAAACAAGTGAAAATGTTACAATTTTTGTATTTTGTTTGCTTTCCTTTTTATTTATTTATTTTTTTTAATCTACTGTGCAGCTGTGGCGGAGTGGTCCTGAGGGTTGCCAGTTCAATGCCCCATTCCAGCCATCTCTGTCGTGTCCTTGGGCAAGACACTTCACCCGCCTTGCCCACTGATGGTGGTCAGAGGGTCCGGTGGCCAGTGTTGTATAAAGTACCACAATGATACTTGAGTAAAAGTACAAGTATCTTACCAAAAAATTACTTTGGTAAAAGTTAGTCTCCTTTTGGAATATTACTTGAGTAAAAGTATCTGAAATTTTTTGTACTTAAGTATTAAAAGTAAAAGTATTTATTTAAATTGAGCAATTAGTCATTTATGTATTTTTTGGGGAAGTCGCCTCCTAATGTTATTACAGAAAATCTATGTCTTATTAAAACAATTAATTTACATTAAATTTAGGATGAACTAGTCCAGCTGTTTCAGTTTACATACATGTATCAAGTCTGCCCAAACCTTTTTCCCAAAATGAAAATGTATCTGAGGGCTGCAGCCAAATGCAATAATATAATTCATGAAATACAAATACTTCTTAAGTACAGTCCTTTTATTTTAATGATTATGTCCTGCTGGAGTGGGACATGATTTGTTTGTGTACAAACTAATACGTTATCAGAGTTTTATATATTTATGCTTCTCATTCAACCACAATTAAATTCACTCTATCTAGGAGGCACAGTTTATATGGATAGTATTTATTTTTTACAATAACAAGCTGGAATGAAAACAAGCAAAATGAAACAAAAGTAATGACTTTCTACTTCTTGCCTTTTTAAAAATGTAAGTAGAAGTAAAAAGTTGGCTGAAAAATAATTACTCAGGTAAAGTACAGATACTCAAAAATTCTACTTGAGTACAGTAACAAAGTATTTTACAACTCTGCTGGTGGCGCTGGTGCATGACAGCCCCGCCTCTGACAGTGTGCCTCAGAGCAGCTGTGGCTACAATGTAGCTTACTACTGTGAATGACTAGTGTGAAGCGCTTTGGGGTCCAATGGTTCTTGATAAAGGGACGTTATATAAGTTCAGTCCATTTTACTATTTTTAACAAAATAAACACCAACATAAACATATCTTTAAATGTGATTTGGTATTCATTTTATTTATTTAGAAAATAATTGATAAGTATAAAACAGAAATCGATTGAAGATTGGGACAAAATTCAGACCCCCCAAAAAATGGTGATTTAAAAACTTTGTGAACTTTTGAAGGCTTAACACAGACAGTGAAACAACTGTGCTGCAGCTCCTCTGCACTTATAAGAGATTTGCATTGCACTTCTCTTCTGTCACATTTTTTCTGCAGACAACAAAGCACTTTGATTTGTAATTTTTTTATTCTAAATATATAAGTTGTCAAAAAATATATGCAGTTTGTTTCAGCCAAGTCATTCAGTGGCTGTTTGATATTGTTTATCCAGACAAGATCATCTGAATAAACATCACAAAAGTTACTGACATTTGTGTTTGATCAATTGCTTTTTCTTGGCAATAAATCATGTATACTGTTGGAAAGCCTGTTTATGCCCCTTAAATGATGCCAAAATGTATTAGTGGGTTGGGCTTGGAGAAAACAGACCTGCATGACTTGAAACTTTAAAGAAATGAACTAATAGTCTCTGGTAGCATGACTGAGACCACCCATGTGGATATTAATTCTTTGGCTCAATTCACTGAGCCAACCATGAACCTGGAGGTCAAAGTGGATGCTGATATCAGGCTCAGCAGTTAGATCAGAGTAATGGTCCTGAAAGTTTGATTTGGCAGTAGCTGAAAGTCATTCTCAACACATACTGTGAGAACAAAGAAGTAAAATATTTGATTCAAAGCAGCAGGCAACATGCGTTCTTACAAGCAATGCTAGTTTTATTTATGAGTACAGATTTATGAAAAAGAGGACACGTCAGTGAGTTGAGTGGTGACTGCTGTTTTCTGTTAACTAAGAGAAGAAATCAGAACCACATCAGAAGGCGATTCTCATTCTGCAGTATTTTAGATAACCTGTAAATGAAAACAGACTTCCTGAAATTCTATCTGTCCACATGTTTTGAAAATGTTCAACATGGGTCTCCGATCCTGTGTCAGGTCAGAAAGCCATATTGATCAGGATTAAAGAATGCCTGACTTTCTTGAAACAAAGCATGAGGAAATTATAGGTGGATTAAACTTATATGTATACACTCACCAGCCACTTTATTAGGTACACCTTGCTAGGACTGGGTTGGACCCCTTTTGCCTTCAGAACTGCCTTAATCCTTGGTGGCAAAGATTCAACAAGCTACTGGAAACATTCCTCAGAGAGTCTGGTCCATATTGACATGATAGTATCATGAAGTTGCTGCAGTTTTGTCAGCTGCACATCCATGATGTGAATCTCCTGTTCCACCACATCCCAAAGGTCTCTACTGGGTTGAGATCTGGTGACTGTGGAGGCCATTTGAGTACAGTGAACTCATTGTTGTGTTCAAGAAACCAGTCTGAGGTGATTCATGCTTTATGACATGGAGCATTATCCTGCTGGAAGTAGCCATCAGAAGAAGGTACAGTGTGGTCATAAAGGGATGGACATGGTCAGAAGATGGGTACACTGTGGTCATAAAGGGATGGAAATAGTCAGAAGATGTTACACTGTGGTCATAAAGCGATGGACATGGTCAGAAGATGTTACACTGTGGTCATAAAGGGATGGACATGGTCAGAAGATGTTACATTGTGGTCATAAAGGGATGGACATGGTCAGCAGCAATACTCGGGTAGGCTGCAGCATTGACACAATGCTCAATTGGTATTAATGGGTCCAAAGTGTGTCAGGAAAATATCCCCCACACCATTGCATCACCACCACCAGCCTGAACCGTTGATACAAGGCAGGATGGATCCATGCTTTCATGTTGTTGATGCCAAATTCTGACCCTACCATCCGAATGTCGCAGCAGAAATCGAGACTCATCAGACCAGGCAACGTTTTTCCATCTTCTGTTGCTCAGTTTTGGTGAGTGTGTGAATTGTAGCCTCAATTTCCTGTTCTTAGCTGACAGGAGTGGCACCTGGTGTGGTCTTCTGCTGCTGTAGCCCATCCTCCTCAAGGTTCAACATGTTGTGTGTTCAGAGATGCTCTTCTGCAGACCTCAGTTGTAACAAGTGGTTATGTAAGTCACTGTTGTCATTCTATCAACTCAAACCAGTCTGCCCATTCTCCACTGGCATCAACAAGACATTTCCGCCCACAGGACTGCCGCTCACTGGATGTTTTCTCTTTTTCAGACCATTCTCTGTAAACCCTAGAAATGGTTGTGCGTGAAAATCCCAGTAGATCAGCAATTTCTGAAATACTCAGACCAGCCCGTCTGGCACCAACAACCATGCCACGTTCAAAGTCACTTAAATTACCTTTCTTCCCCATACTGATGCTCAGTTTGAACTGCAGCAGATCGTCTTGGCCACGTCTACATGCCTAAATGAATTGAGCTGCTGCCATGTGATTGGCTGATTTGACATTTGCGTTAATGAACAGTTGGACAGGTGTATCTAATAAAGTGGTCGATGAGTGTATATTGTCAAATACAGTCAGTCAAACGTGGAAAAGAAGAACTATATTGATGCTTTCTGGACTTTAGAGGTTGCCATCAGAGAGAAACTAGAAATGAAGAATAATGTTTTGCCACTTTACAGTTAAATGTCAGTTATTATTTTGGATCAACTGGAGGATTTAGAAACAAATGATAAGGATAACACATCCAATACAACATCCGATCACATTAACTATTAGTGATATCCACCATAAATCATCTTAAGTGTTTTAGAAATCTACTTAGGTTAGCTTACTGTTTATTCTGACCTGCCTTAGCTTCAATTGGTCCAACAAATTCTAATTAAACTAAAACAATATTCAGGTTTAGAGGAAATTTGTTTTTCCATCATTTGTTTTATTCTGAATAGTAACAGAAATGCTGCCAGAACACTTTGATGCAATTATAGATGAAATATTCAGAAACTTCCATTCCAGAGTTTCTGTAAGGGAAATCATAGATACTACTTTAAAAAAACTCTGTGACAAAACGTTACAGTTCAGGTTGGCAGTTTAAACTGAGGCCTGCAGAGTTTATGGGAGAATCAGTTACTATAAGGATATAAGTAGAAAGTACATATACGAGTCTGGAGACAGACAGTTGAGGCCCTGGCCAGCGGTTGCGTGCAGGCCTGCCCTGTGGCTTCATGTTGCTGCAGCAGAGAACCTAACATCAGAATATTTGTCCCCACTGTGGCTGGCCTCCTTCCGGCAGATGTCCCATGTCTAAGCCGGGGTGAATCCCACCACAAGCAACAGTTGCGTAAAGAAGGATCAGTTTCCCAATACTGGAGGTCTGGACCCAAGCTGTTTCTCACGGGAAATGGTTTACCTTCAAATGTATATATATATA